AAATTCGTATATTTAGACACGCAGAAGTCTGACACATGCATATGTATATAGTCTGGAGCTCAGTCTTTCCAAGCATAATAAGTATGTCGCCTCAATTATAACTTCAAACATTTGTTTAGTCTAACGGACGAGCCCGGCATAGACTTGGGCCACTTAATTGAAAGCAATTTTCTCTTAGCTGCTGCGACTCAGCCTCTTATTCGTTCTTGTTGTTGTTGTTGCTGTTGTTGTCTTTATAAAAGCCCGAAAAGAAGTAGAACAACAAAAATAATAAGTTAACGTTTTAGGCGGCTTGGCAAGCACATGACCTTGTCCTTGCCATTGGCAAAATGGAAATTGCTCTGCGGCTCCCTCATTACAATTTAATGTCCTTTGTTTTGACTCCTCGCATTGCAGCAGGCTTAGTCAAGATTTAAATGAAATTATGTACTTAAATGACATGTTCAAACTTGCACACTCCTAACCTGCTTCGTCTTGTACCGTCTGCCGCCTGCCTGCCATCCGTCCCATGTCCTGTGTCCTGTCATTAAACAGGCACCCATTAAAACGCTTTTGGTTAATTAAAATGCCATTCGAGATGTCACCCATCTCCATACGAGAATATGGATAAGACTCCTTCAGGCATCGAGTAAATGCCTAACGCAAAGTATTCAGTATAATGTGCTAGATTCAGGATCGGTCGAGGCGTTCTCCGACTAGATTTATTTGAAAAGTAATTAATCAAGAAATCGCTTGTTTGATTTGGCTAAAGTTTAAAGGGCAGCTCTGAATTAAATGCCTCCGTCACGGCTTTTCAATTCCGCGATTAATGATTCACAAATACATGAGTATATATATATAGACCGAGACGGACGAATGCACTGTTAGGCAACTGATGTCGCAGATGTTTGAAGGCCGAAAAATCGAGCAAAAGAGGAATACAGAGATACATCAAATTTGGCTTGCAAACAAGCCTCCCAGTCCCTGTTTGCTATTCGGAAGCTTGCTTTTGTGAGAGGTAGAAGATATTTATCAAGCTTTCAGCTTGCTGGCACTTTCCGTTAAGGCTATGCGCTGGCTATCAGTCATCTATAAGTCACTCAATCAGTCAGTCAATATGGACGATCGCTTTTTAGCTTCAACGTTTAAAATCATATCAATATGAAAGCCCCTCTTGTAATAAGGAGGAGAATCGCACAGAAAAGCGATCGAAAAGAACTAATGGAATGCGAAGAGCAGAGTGAATAAGAGAGTAAGATAAGCCTGAAAGAGAGTGAGGGAGGCGGAGAGAGTAGGTGGGAAAGAGATTTGAATAGTTATGGTTAAGATGGAAAAAGAAAGAGAGGGAGAGAGAGGTATATATGTATACTTAAAAAGAAAAATAGATACCTAGACAAAAAGGTAGATGTGCAGATAGATTGATATATAGATAGAGGGAGAGATGGAGAGCGAGTTTGAGGAAAAGTAAGAGTATGAGCGCCAAAATTTTGTATCCGCAATGTAATAAATGTTATAATTTATTTTAATTTTGTCATTGTTAATCGAACTAAAGAGTTTTAGTTATACAAATATTGAAGTAAATTTAAGATGCAAATGATTGGTGTCTAGCTCTTATCTGGTCTGTAATCGTAGACACTCATTTGTACAACTTCATTATCCTTTCTCGTACACATTGACTAGATGAAGGATTCACAGAACGTTGAGCACAAATTAGCATTAATGCATTTGACCAATGATTGGGCAAACGATTGGCCCTTTTATAACTAAACTGCAATTCGCTTTAGGTTTGAGCAGCATAATTAAATATGAATTGAAATGCCTGGCGACGTGAGCATTTCACCGAACAGCTACCTATTATAATTCAACCTCTTCGGGTTTATCTGTCCGTTTTGTGGTGGGGCCACTTCGCAAGGTAATTTATACTGCACTCGCTGCACTTGGCAGCTTTTGGATAGATGTAATTAGAGCCTAGCCTGTTCGCATAACTCTTGTCGCTCCTCAAATGTCCGTGGTTGCACACAGTGCCACGTGAAATTGACTTGCAAGTCAAATGTTAAGCAATCCTAACTGCGTCACTGCCATATGTGACCGTGGCGGGAGTTGCATTCTATCTGTGCGATTGCGTGATACATATTGGATTTTGCTTTATGTAATCATTTTTATCATTTCCTAGGTTTCAATTTCTGCCCCATCTACAATCATAGGACTATGTGTTTTATAATTGAAAAATGAAATCCGGGATGTTGAAATTTATATCTGACTACGGTTTAAAAATAGTTGACCATAGTCGCTTGCATTTCGCAATCAACGGCAGAGTATCATATATTTAACACAGAACCCTACGCGGAATATGCAATTTCATTTGACGTAAGACAAAGGAATTGTTTACACTGCCCGATGAGCATTATGAAAGTCAAAATGAACTCGTGCCAGCGTTAATTGTATTTTGCTGGCAAGTCCGGTAACTGAGTGATTACTCCTAGGTGTGAGTGTGTTTGGGAGTGTGTGTGCGTGAGGTTGTGGGTGGGAGTGTGTGGGTGAGCTGACAGCAAATTAAACAGTTTTAATTACAATCAGGCACAGGCAGAAACATGAAAAGGGGCCTCATCAACAAGGTGTCTGCCCATGAATCCACTTAATGCACGTGTTGCACATACTACAAAATGTGGCATGTAATCCCCGCAGGTAAACACAGCTTCATGCTGAGCACACATCTGCGCGAATTGACAAGGCGTTTACGCCTAATGGAGCTCCGTAAAATCATCATCGTCAGGCTTCAACGTGGCGTTGAAGTATTTTTTCATTATCGATTCAAGTCTTCATCGAAACTGTTGAAATGACATTTCACCAGACTATTGTAATATTCGAAATTATATATTGCAAGGACAAAGGACGAGAGGGCTTAAAAAATTTCTGTAAAGTCAATAATATTTCTTTTTAATAAGGAGTTTGCCATGTTGTGTAAATACAAATGATAGGATAGAAAAGGAATGTTCACTACACGAAGATTCCTTTTCGACTGTTGTTCCTTCGGGTTACTTCTACTGTAGCCCTGTTGTTGCCGACATCATAAAATGGGGAGTATAATGGGAATATAATCGCGATAATTATTAATTCCAATGTCGTCGATGGAGATGTTCTAGGTTTACGTCCTAGTTTCGGTTTTAAGTACTTAATATTATTTTGCAAGCTAAAACTTACAAGTGGCTGCTGTTTCTGCAAGATTTCTTATACATTCTTAATAGCAATCCCGAATTGATTATACCCCAAAAAATCAATATATAAAATAAATTTCAATTGAAATATATATTTAACATAGGCTGCAACATATCATTTGGGCAATTAGGGGCTTAGCTACGTGACCAATGGCAATTTAATGTGCCCTAAGCAAGCCGAGAACCATTTGCCAGCACCATTAAAAGGCATTGAAAACACACATTAAAACGATTACAGATAAAGAATCCCTCAATTAAATCAAAATATGTTTGCAACAATCGGTAGGAACCAATACAACTAAGAGTAAGTGTATTTACAAGTGCTTTCAATTAAATTGGCATTTGCGCGGCGCTCCTCTAATTAAATGCACACTAAGTAAACAGCCGTCAGATAAAACGCAAAGAAATTTCATTTTATAAGTTCCGACTATTAAATACCTTTGATAAAATATTTGAATAAACTGTTGAAATCAAATTTCATAAATTAGCTTTTCCTTCATAGTCAGAAACAGTAGAAATGTATCCTTGTTTGTAAAGTAAAGCTATCAATAGCATCGATTGCTCTAAAACTATCGATGGTGGACTCTATCGATAGTAAAGTATTACTGAACTGATCAAAAGAATTTCACGTTTATATTTTATGTTAAGCTTCTTAGATTTGCGAATCGAACGAAACAACTCCCGCCACTCCATATAGGGTAAATATACTCATCCCACACATTCACAACAATAATATGCTCGTTTTTGATATTGTACAGGGTATTAATACAATTGAATATCGACACGAAGCCAAGCATTTGGCATTTTAAAAATCATTTAAATGACAGCGCTAATTGCTAATGGCCAACAATATAATGGGCTTAGGTGTATGCGTCAATTGGCCAGACCGATTCCACAGCCACAGATCCAGCTGAAAGACCATTCAATGCTGTGATAATAAACAAAGCGAATGCCCCCCGCCTTCTATTTACGTGTGTTAAATGCCCTGGCCTAGTGGGCTTTGCCATTAGCTGTGACGAATTGCATTTCCCAATGAGAAAAGTCTGGATAAAAAATAAAAAATATGAATGCCGTTCCTAAGAGGGATCTTATGCGCAAAATAGGCGTTCGACATGTAAATGCAAATTATATATATATGCGCATGTGTATACAACACACACGCACACACACACAATTCATACTTAACGAGAAAGAAAGGCCATCTTCGGCACGCCGAAGACCTTGTACCCTTGCAGACCCAACCTTTTCACAATGCTTATAGTGCATTGCCCGTATCTAAGAAGCACAGGTAAAATAGTTAATTCCGAGATTGGTCAAGATATCTTGATAAACAAAAAAGGTTTTTAATCAAAAACCTAGTTTTCGACCGATCGTTCCTGTAGCAGCTATAAGATATAGAGGTCCGATTTTATTAGGATTTTGCATATATATGAGGGGTATAGTAAAACTAATAAATGCCGAATTTGTTCAAACAAAATGTTTTTTCATACAACAACTTAATTCTCGATCGATCGTTCCAATGGCAGCCATAAAAAGTCAGACGGACAGACGGACAGACGGACATGGCTATATCGACTCGGCTATTGATGCTGATCAAGAAAATATACACTTTACGGGATCGGAGATGTCTCTTTCTATGTGTTACACCTTCTGCAAGGGTATAAAATTGACTGCGCTATTAAAATGTTAACTATCCGCCCTTGATGGTATGTTGTACATAGACTATTATGTATAAATATAGGTCTGAATATGAATTAAAATAAATATATGAGAAATATGTTGCATATGTACATAACTAGACCTTTGTACATTTCGTAGAGAACATTTTATTTCGGTTGAAATTTTAAAACTACATAAAAATATGGAATTTAATTTAAGTGCATTCATATTATACGAAAGTCCCATGCAAAACATTCAAATGCACCAACAAAATCCCATCCTGGCAACTGGCCACAAACTTGTGTGTGCGTGTGAGTGTGTGTGTGGTTATGCGCGTTTGTGTGGGCGAGGGTGTGCAATGCTTTGCCTTTTTCCTTATTTTCCACATAACACGAGAGTAGTTGGCAAAGTTTGGCACTAGCCCAAATTGATGATATAAAAATGTTGGTGAATTGGCAGAGAAAGAGATGTGAAATGCGCACTCACACTCACTCACACAGGCAGACACACGCACACAGACGCAAAAAAATGGCTTCTGAAAGTGCATAGCCATGGCAACGTTTTCATTGCTCATTGGCCATTCAGTGTGCTAACTTGATTTAGTCTACATTCGGCAGCTGCCTCAGAACCACGCCCCGACCCACTAACCAGGCCGTTGCCACACCCATAGCCATTTCCAGATTCAGTTTTGTCTTCTCCTTTTCAGCTACAGCTGCAGGCCGCACTTTCATTTAGCTCTGTCTTAAATTGTAGCTCTGCTGCGAGCCTTGCTCTAGCCCAGCCTGCTGCGTACTTACACACTCACACACACACACACACACACACACTCACACACTCGCACACTAGCAGAGACAATCGCACACGCTTTTAGCTGTGCTACATAAAAAGTTCTATGCGGACAGAAGGCAAACGGGCAGAGGCAGGGGAACGCAGCTGCAAATTTGTCGTAAATATTAAAATTTTTCATACGTTTATGCAAATTTACTTTCGACAACTTCACTTCCTGTCGTCGCCATTTTCACCGGCGTCCTCATTGTCCTGCGTCTTCCTCGCTGTCTCCCTTTCAGTATTTCCTTCGTCGTTCGCCAACGCTGGCTTCCGTAATGAGGCAGCCCTTGCAGGCGTCTCGACTGCTTTCTACGGCGCTGTTTAAACACTTAGCCATGTTGGCATCTCTGTGTGTATGTGTGTGTGTTTGTCAACTGAGTTGTGAGGGGACGCCTCTTTTTTTATGAAAATTTATTAAGTTGAAATTACATTTCAAATAATTTTCATATTATTGTAATGCATGACAGAAAATAACATACATTTATTTACACAGACCAAACACACACACACACGCACACACACATTTATGTAACTACATATATGTATGTGTCTATGACAAGTAGCACACACCCATACACTCTCACACACCCTACTGCCTATGGGCGTGTTACAGGCATTTCGTAATAGCCGTGTAATATTTATGTAAATATGTAACTGTTGCCTACCTCGTCCTTTATCCTGCGTCCTGCATCCTACGTACCTCTGCGCTCGTCTGCTGTCAGTCAAAGCCTCTTTGGCACTTGCTTATTTATTCATTTGCATGAAATGTTTTTACAAAGATTTTGATTTCATTTCTGCTCACAATCTGTGTGAGTAGAAATAACAAAATACATGAATGCCTAGCTACTTACGACACGCCGAACTCCTGATACCCTTGCTTGCAAATCAACGCAATATATATCATTATATACTATAGCTAAATATTTGTCCAAAACATAAATCTTTTCTTCCGAATGGAAGCATTTGTTCTACTTGAGAGTTATGTGTTAAATTAATTAAACTTAACATAAGTTTATTTTGCAAGGCAGAAATATCTGAAACTGTGGCGTTACACAATTTCAGTCAAAGTAAAAATAGCCTATAATATAATAGTAAAATGTAATTGAGACATTTTTTATTCAGATCAAGGCGGCTGAAGGGTTCGAACCCAAAGTTCCTCTTTAATATTTACCCTGGCAGAAACTTTCAAGTGTATCAGTTTGAAAAAAATAACAGCCATTTTAGTTTTACCCGGAACACATTGCAAATCAGTAAGAAGGGTATTCTCTTTTTGTGCAAAGGTGTGTTACAGAACCATAAAGTTTAAATATTCTTGACCAGAATCAATAGCCACGTTCGTCTGTCTCCCGTCCGTCTATCCGTATGTATGGGCGCGTCGATCTCAAAATCTAAAGGAGCTCGAGACTGAAATTTTAAGCGCCCTTCTAGTGGCCGCGCAGCAAAAGTTTGTTTCCGCTAATCGATCGCTTGCCCGGTTTCCACGCAATTGATAACAAATGCGTTTTTTTTTTGAGCAAATGTCACACCAATTTTGGCATGTATCGACTTGCCAGAGCAGTAATATACATTTTTTGGTTGGAAAGGAGTTGCTGGTATGCCTGTCGAATAGAGGCGATAGCAGGAAGACTCGGGCACGAATTTATTTTTATAACAGATTAAGCAAATGAGCTGAATTTTGTTTAGGTAGAAGAAGGTTCCGGGCATCGCCTAGTCGGTAACTTTCGACTAGAACATATTACCTTTTTATTTAATTTTTCTTGGCATATATCAAATGATATTGCATTAAGTTAAGTCCTTCAACTTGGCGCTAAATATATGTAGTTCTTAGCATTATAAGATAATTTCAATGAATTAGTATGCATGCAAATATTTTAGAACGTACAGAATTCTGTTTTTCAAAGTTGTAAGAACTTTAAGGAATCTAAGCTCGACCTTAGCGCCAGAAATTGAACAGCAGAGCGAGTCTTTCAAGCATAATCAAAATTATTTAATATATTAAGATATCGTGTTGTGAATATTAAAAACGAGCATAGAACTTAAATCAAATCAAATGTTAATTTTTTAATTTATTTACACCATTTTCTCTTTTTAAATTGTGCTCATTAAAGTTAACTATAAGCCCAAGTCAAGCAGTAAATACGAAAACAAAAATTTAAATAAAAGAGCGAAATGATTTTTAAATTAAAACTGCTGGTTGCAGGTTCTGGTTGCACTTAACGGCAAATACAAATTAATTAGCGATATTTCAAGCAGCGAAAATTTAAGTCAAATATTTATTGGCACTTTAAATGCATTTTAAATGCGACATGGGAAATTGCATTTTCCCCTTTTGCCGATTGGAGCCCAATAAAAAATAACAGAAAAAAATGTTTATAAAGCTCTAGCTGACAATGCTCGACTAGGCAATACCCTGGGCTCTATAAAGAGTTAAAATATTGAATAGCTACTTTATAAACATTTGCAAAGCAAAGCTTTGTGGAAAAGAGGTTGAATGAAAATTGATGGCATTCACAGGTAACTTTGCCTTCTGTTGCTCGATCCTTATCAAGCGCTTAGCAATTATTTTGAGAATTTTACAGGGTATTTGCAATGACAAAAATATCGAACGAAGAATCAGATACCGTTGCTTGCATAAAGCTGTATTTAAAATGTTCAGCACGATGCAATGGGGCACACACTGTAGAGTCAACAGCAACGCCTATGCCCACGCCCACGCCTCCCCGCCGCCCACTTTAACGCCCACATACAAAAGCCACGTTCCCACGAACGCACGTTCGCAACAGTCTGATTGTGGAAGGGGGTCGCAAAGTTTTGCATTGTGTGCGCCCACATTGCGCATACGCAGCGTTGCCTTCGCAGCATTTGCACTTTTTGTTGCTGCCCTCCTCCCTCTCACAGAATAAAATCAGCGACTGCTGTTGTTGCTGTTATTTTTGCTGCAGTGGTCGTGTATTGGTTTGTTTTGTGTTTGCTTTTGCTGGCTGACACTGTTAAGGTTGCCGGACAAGTGTTGCATACCAAATGCGCCAAGGGATCTGCGGGCAGTGTCCAGGAAGCGCTCGCAAGTTGTTGGCTAGTTGGCCGGCTGGCCAGGCTTGTTCAGACACTGCATTGTTGTAGCTGCTCTGGCTATGGCATTTATCACACGTAGCATGCCCTTAAAAGCCCCCCTTCTCACACCACTCCACTTCACACTCTTGCCACGCACTGCCAGCTAGCGCAATATCTATTGTGTAATATTTGCGTGGCATTGCACGAAACTTTTGCCGAATTGCCAAGCTCTGAGGTCTGAGGCTGGCTTCTACCTGCTGCCGCTGGGTTGTCGTTGCCGCTTGCCGTTGCCCGTTGTTATTCCTGTTTCTATTATTGTTTTCGGAGCTACAAACACATGCAGTTGCATAATTATATAGTTGATTATTCTAACAGCAATCGCGAAATGTTTTTATTGTGCGCTACAACAAAGAAATGTTGCATACTTTTTGGCTGAAATGAATACTTTAAACATTGAATACTAATTGAATATTCCACAGACAGTTGCAGTAATTAAACTATACTAAGTATACTAAAGTGTGCGCGAAATTTAAATAAGAATATCCTAGTTGGTATATTCTGCCCATGACAACATCTCAGACTGCTCTTCCTTAGCCTTGGCAAGCCAAATTCCTGTAGCAGCAAGTCCTCATGCTAGTCGCTTGGACACCTAAAACTAAGCTCACGTCAATCGTTTAAAAGTCATAGATTTCGCTCTGCCAGTTACGCCTCATCTTCAATCAATGGGCATATGGATGCCAGTTGTTGTTGCAACGCTTGCGACAGCTTCTTCGTGCAGCACACAGACACACCATGGTGCCGGGGCGGGGACAATGGGGCATGGTTTGCTGGCAGCAAACGCTAGGCGGGCAGCGTATGCATTAGCTTCGCCTGCCACAAAATTACATTTCACGCACACGCACTAACCAAAGGGCAAAAGGCAGGGGAAATTCGCTTTGGCTGCCGCAAAAATTATTAAAATAAAAAAAAGATAGATATATATTTATATATGCACACATATATGTACGGATCTAAGTGTGTACGCACACCAGCACAAATGGGGCGAGAACAGAATTGTGCACTTATATTGAATTTTAAGCTGTTGGCGATAAAAGCGGATGGATTTGAGCCACCACCCGCTGCCTCCCAACAGCTGCCAGACTGCCTGGGTGGGCTCTGGCTGGCTGCTTGATTATCTAGGAGCGAACCGCCTGCCCAGCGCCTTTCCATAAGGCCTGCTTTCACCTTGCCTGTGTTTATTTGCCAACATGTGGCAAAATTATTTCCGCTCAAAAATCCACTTCCTGCTCATTTTATGTCTTCGCCGCATTCGCTGTTTCTCGGTTATTTTGTTTTGCTCCTTTATGTTTTTTTTTCTTTTTTGTTTTAAGTAAATTGGAAAAAATTGCTCTTAAAATAAATCAGAGATTGGCAGATTTTATACTGGCTTGGGCACAGTTGATGCCTGCCGCTGACAATGAAGAGGTCCCAAATGCACAAAAGCCAACTGCTCAAATGCCAAAAAGAAAAAACAATAACAAAAACAAGCACAACAAAAATAACTGAAAAAGGCAACAGTACGTGATGGTGGATCCTGCTCCTGTCACATTGTCACAGAATTCAATAAAGTTTCACTTTGAAATTTTCAATGCTCCCGCATGTAGTGGTTAAATGCGTGTATGTGAATGTGTGTGTGTGTGTGTGCGTGTGTGTGTTGTGCGCGTCTACCCACACACACACACACACACACACACACACACACACACGCACGCACCTGTTGATGAAACAAAAATAAAATGAAATTAAATAAAAGAACGTCGAGCGCGAGCAACTTTTAGCGCTTAGCCAAAGACCGTGGAACCTGGGCCCAGCCGCCTTCCTAGTCGCCCCCAGCAATAATCCCATCGACCCCACTCTCCTTTACAACAATTTCTGTCCATCAGTCGACCCTTGCGTGGGTTTTCTCTGTACACACATCACCTACAATTAAAATGTGAAATCCGAGAATTGCAGCTATGTTTGCATATATCTCATGCAATGTCAATTCACGCGCGCGCATATATGTGTGTGTGTGCGTGTGCGTGTGTGTGTGTGTGGGTGTGTGGGTGTGCGCGTGTGTTTTATAATTAAACCTCACTTGTGCCACAAGGCAGTCGCCAGCCGGCCGTAACACTCAGCGAGAATGCAAGCCACGAGCATAACAACTGTACCCATTCGCATTGATAAGGGGTAAGGCTGTTCCCACATCTGACACTCTGTACCCAGTATTGTCTCTCTTAGACGCGCTCTTAACTGGCACCAGGCAAGTACTCTACACCGAAATATCTGTGCCTAGTGGCACAGTTATGAGCAAAGTTTTTGCACATTGCGTAAAAGCCAAGAAATATTAAATTAAATGTTTTAGTTATACATATATCAAATTATTTCAAAGCTATAAAATTGAGTTAAAATAACTTACTTTATGATCGTTTTTTAAGTTTGTGAGCTGTTTGTTTATTTGAATTACTTCTTTATATAGATAATATAAGTATAAATGCTTGAAGAGTCTTAGTTATCACAATGTCTGTAGCTAACTAAGCTAATGTCGACCAGACAGCAGTTGAGAACAGATTTCCCCATTGGGAACAGTGCCTTGTGCTGTGCCCAATCATGCCCCTCAGGGGTCTATCAGCCTTTTACTGGTCCGTATTATTCGAAAGCTTTGGCATCTAAAATAATTAGATTAGGCAGCACAATTTTGGAAACACGTAGCGCGACGTTGGACACGGAAATTCTATTTTGGTGGAACCACCTATGAAGTTAGTCAGAATTTGGCATCGACTTATCGATCGCCTTATCGAACGTGTTTTTTTGCATGTATCATGGTATATGGGGAAAACCTCTCCAGACAATCTTATGTCTTTCGTGGCTCTGATAGCAAGCCCATAAGCTAGCTAATTCACTTTGTTTGCCACTCCCGGAATGTTATCTGGCTTTCAGTGCGGCACGTCACGTTAAAATTAAAAGGTATAAACAAATTGCGCTGCGGTTTTTTGTTGTTTTCCCAATTGAAACGAACATTGCATATGTGCTCATGATTATTATAAGTCGCTGGCACCAATAATAAATTTTACAAGAATTTCGATTGGTTTAGGCTAATGCTTTCTTTTTTTATTTATTCGTTTTTTCTATCTCAGCTCGTTTCTTAGTCAGTTCGGTGGAAAGAGACGTTTAGTTAGGCCCAAATCTGGTCAGTTTCTTATTTGATCTCTATATATAAAACTGTTTGTCCTGACTGACAGACTGACTGACAGAATGATTGGTGATCAACGCACAGCCCCAACCGAAAGAGCTAGGAAGCTGAGATTTTCACTGTGATGAAGGTGCACGTTAAGACGCTGTTTCGGGAAATTCCAACCGCAAGTATGGAAAAATTGTTAAAATCGTTTATATGAAACTTTGTGTTAACCATCCGATCAGCCTTAAACTCAATTTCAAATTTATTTGAGGGGTGTTTCACAGTTTTCCGATAATTTATTTCTCCTTGGTTTATAATAATAATTTAATTTATTTCTCCTTGGATTTAGGGGTGACGTTTCGTGATTAAATTAATTTCCAAGTATCCATAAGAAAAATCATTCAAATACTTTTTTGGTGTCGTTTTAATGAATACATATTTCAACAATTTAGAAAATTCCACCCGCAACTGTGGTAATTTGGCGGAAAACGTTTGTATGAAAGTTGTTCGTTTACCTTCCGAGCAGTCTCGAAATCATTTTCAAAGCTTTCTGAGAATATTTATCTTATACGTGCCGCGGGCAAGGCCGGGCTATACCCGCTAGTAATAAAATAGTAAAATAATAGTATAAAATAAAATATATCAAATCGGGCATTTTATTTTTAGCATTGAAAACAGTAAGATAATTTTACTGTTGCCATTTATCAACTTTGCGGTCTCGAAACACTCAAATTGCAGCATGAAACGATGCGTAATTGACTTTGTTTTATTTGTTTTTTTTTTTCGTTATTATTGTGTACCATAACAATAGACGTATTAATTACACGCGCTTGATTACACTTACCAACAGGAATTAAATCAGCGCAAGTGTAGAGTTTTTTTCACCAACACCCTTTCATTTGTGAAGTCTTAAAGAACAGGTTACTTTTTCGTAAACAAAATATGTATTGCTTTGTGTTTCGGTTCGGCAACTGCTTTGGCTCAAGGTTCAATTCCTGCCAAAAAAAAAAAAAAATGTAGTTTCCGGCTTGAACCGGTTCGTTTAATTAAAACATCGCAAGTGCTGATTATTATTCAAAACCCTTTCCTTTATGTGCTTTTAACTAAAACATTTTATTTTGATGTGAGTAAAATGTGTGTTGGTTCGGGTTAAGGTTCAGTTGTTGTACGAGCAACTGATTTGGCTTCCTGGGAAAAAGCAAAGTGTAGTTCTTGGCTTTAACCGGTTCAGTTAGTTATAACAGCGCAAGTATAGCAAATGTTACTAAGTCCTTTTCTTTCGTGTACTCTTAAAGAAAACAAACCTTTTTTTTTTTGTAAGGAATATTTATTTTGGTTCGTTTCCTTGCAAAAAGCTCTTTGAACTTCCAAGCTTGAACCGGTTTGGTTAAGAGCAGGTTTGCTGCCTTGATAAAAATCACATTAAACCTGCCGATGTTTTAGCTAAATAAGCTTCTACTTAATAGCTTCTAAGCTGTTACCCTATACACTATAAGGGCAGCTTGTAGTCTAATATAGTTGGAATAAAATGAGTTTAGTTTAAATATTGATTGGCAAGCTTAATTTTAAATATTTATTTCGCTTCTATAAACTATTGTTACGCATAAGTGAATTATTTAGAGTTTAACAGCGTGAATGGAACACAAATAAATATTTGTCTATTCAAGCCCCAAATACGCTGGCTTCGCAATAATGCAAGCTGCTTACCCGATTAGCTGCGAATTGTTCGAAATTTAAATTAGCATATGTTTAATTCACGATAACATTCCCAATATTCCCCGAATAAAAACTCTATTATTTGCTTTGGTTTTACAATATGTATTTATTTTGATATACGTTTACATGAAATTTTACTTGGTTGGAATTTTTATAAAGTTTGTGTAATACTTCTTATTATTTTAATTTTTTTTTTTTTGTTCGCTTTAGTTTTTTTTTTCTTTCGTTTGTTGTTTTTTTTTTTTTGTTTGTTATTTTTTGGGAATAGATTGAAGATAAATTGTAGATATATGCGAAATGTAAATAGAAATTGTATTCAATGCCCAATTAAGGGCATAGTTAATTTAATAAAACCTATTCCAAGGACCAAATTCGTCGTGTGCGAAACCTTCCCGATTCGGTCCGTGCTTGTCCTTGCCCCCACCATGTTTTCCATGCTTGCCATGTTTGCCGTGCTTTCCGTGCTTTCCGTGCTTGCCATGCTTCTCGTGTCTGCCGTGTTTCTCGTGATTGCCGTGCTTGTGATGCCCAGATTTCGAAGTATCGCGAGATGGACTCACCGGACGCTCAGCTGATTTGCCATCCTTGCAAGGGGACCGCGAGCGTGAGCGGCTGGGGCGACCGCAGGGCGGTGGGCCAAAAGCTGGTGGTCCAGGTGGGCCAGCTGGTGGGCCAAAATGAGGACCATGGTGTGGCCAATGATGTGGCCCATGATGCCGTCCAGGATGCGGTCCATGATGTGGCCCATGATGTCTTCCATGGTGTGGGCCATGATGCGGGCCATGATGCGGGCCATGATATGGTCCGTGATGCGGACCATGATGCGGACCGTGGTGTGGCCAATGATGAGGGCCACGATGGTGACCGTGTCCATGTCGAAGACCCCGTTCCTTGTCGCTGCCAGAACTGGAACTGGAGCTGGAGCCAGAACTGGAACTGGAGCTAGAGCTGGAGCTCGAACTGGAGCTAGAGCGATTCACTCGACGCTCATGGTGACGACCCTTGTGGCCATGTCCGTGTCCGTGTCCGGATCGCTTGTGTCCAATGCTGTGATGTCCACCACCTCTGCCGCGCGAAACCGAACGCGACCTAGATCTCGATCGGTTTCTCGGCCATGCCGTGCTCGTCTCCAGGGCCCACGGCAGGCCGCCGTTCCGAAAAAACTGCTGGTGTTCCCACACGGGCCAGGGGCAACCACCGAAGCCGCCACGCGCCATAAAATGATGTGGTCCGAAGTGATGCGGTCCAAAATGATGCGGTCCAAAATGATGCGGTCCGAAGTGATGTGGACCAAGACCGTGCCTATGGCCATGATGTCCATGCCGGCGCCAGCGGTCATCGGAGCGGCTGTGCGAACGAGATCTGGAACGATCTCTGCGGCCATGATGATGACCATGGCGTCCAGCCCACTTGCGGCCCCAGCCATGGCAGCCATGGCGGCCAAAGTTATGGTCCGAGCCGGAGCCCGAGCTACTCGACGAGCTGGACGAGGAGCTCGATGAGCTCGAGGAGCTGGACGTGGAGCTGACGCTGTTAGAGCGCGTACGTGGCTGCTCATTCTGCTCATTCTGCTCCATGTTCTGGTTGGACTGCTGAACCTGCTGCTCCTTTTGCTGCTTCTTGGCCTTCTTGTTCTGCTTCTTCTGCTGCTTCTTCAGCTTCTTGGCCTCCTTGACCTGAGCTCTTTGGTCCTTGGCCCGTTCGGCAGCCAGCTGATCCATGGCTTGCTGCAGCATGCGCTGCGCCTTATACGCCTTCTTGATGGCCTTCTTGATGAGCTTGCCGCTCTTCTGCACAGGCGCTTGCGAGGATTGGGGCTGCTCTGCCACATCCTCGAAGTCAATGTCGCAATCTACGACCTCAGCCGGCTCGTCCAGCAGCGTCTCACTGCGCTTAGCTAACTCTGCCATTGTAAATAATTTTTTGCTGCCTTTATCCTTTCGAATTGTGTCAAACTTTATAAACAATATTCAATTGTAATTTTTTCTGCGATTTGTTATTGTATTTTATGCCCTTTCTCTTGCTGCCTCTTTCTCTCTTTGGCTGCTCTACAAAGCTCCAAGCTTCTAACTGATGATGGACGCTAGCCGGCCGGCAACTTTTATACGCGGCGTTCAACGTTTGTAAACGTTTAACGCTGGCAGCGACGCAACGTCAGCGAGAGAGAGACGGAGATACAAAGATATATATAAATATAGACAGAGAGAGTGCGAGAGCGAGAGAGCACGAGAGCGGGCACGCTTGACTGACATTGGAGCAGTTAATGCGTCGCAGCAAAAACATGAGAGCTGCAGCCGATAAAAATAGCCCGCTCCACACACACATACACACACACACACACACATAATACTTATTTGTACACACATATGCACACGCATGCACGCACACTCGTCCGCTTATATATACCCTACATATGTTTGTTTGTATATAGGCGCCTTTTGGTTTGTTTTGTTTTCAATTTCACAACATGGTGAAATATATTCATCTGCGCTGGAGCGATACAATGAATCAGCAATGGGAAATGGTTTCCTATTCTGATGAAATCGCCTTCAAACGTTTCTTAAATCTAGAATATTCCCTACTAAAGAAAAGTAAATAGAAGTCAAATGGATCTAGGCTTTGTTTCAATTTACATAGCATGCATAATTCACTTGGAATGACCCTATCAACATAATGCTCCACAGCTCAGAATGTTAAGCTGTTCATGCATTAGTCGAACTGGTTCATAGTCAAGTTCATACAGTTACATTGGTTCATAATCATGTATATATATATGTAATCTGCCAATCAACAAAATGCTCCACAGCCCAACAAATACTTTGTTTATGGGGCTATTCATGCACAAGTCAATTTTGGATTATATTGTTTCCATTCACATTCATCTGAAATTTAAGTCGAGGTTATGTTCTACTCATTACTTTATTTGACAGCATTTTAACTACGTATTTTGGCTCAATTTCACTTAGTTATTTTAGCCATATAGCCATAATTAAATCGCTTATTAAAGAATAAAAAAAAAAACAGCATAAGCTGCAAAGTTTTCAAACATTTAAGACTAAGGTCACACTTTACTTTTGTTCCCAAAGTAGTTCAATACAACTTTATATTTCACACTAGAGATTCACTTTATGAATAAAACAAAATATAAAAAAAAAAAAAACAGCATAAGCTTTAACGTTGAGATTGAGGTTATATAGAAATTGAAGACTTCAATCATATACGATTAAGGTCACACTGGCTAAATAACTCTAGCCATATAATTATCGAACACTAAAACTTCATATATTTCAGAAGAAGAATTGAGGCTCTGTAGACTTTAAAGACCTCAAACATCTAAATTAAATTTGCACTATTTATTTATGTGTTCCCAACAGTGGCACAATGCAACCTAATATTTCTCTTAGTTGCTTTAGGCCCATACATATTATATTTAATAAATAAGGCTACATTTTAAGGTTATATTGGGCTCCTTTCAACAGACACACATACAAAGTGTATACACAATTCAACTATAAAAAAAAAAAATATTAAAAAAAAATGTTCTTCCTTTTTTCCGCTGGTCTTAAAGGAGCCACGTAATGTACTTATGGTACAGTGGAACATTGTATTCATTTATATTTTCATAAGGCAACTTCACATTTTGATCAGAGTATGTGCTCTATGATTTTAAGTTAAGGTTTTTAGCAAGTCTTTAATTTGCATGGTTTAATTAATAGCACAATTTCTTGAAGTATTACAAGACTTTTTTCATTTGGGGTCCACTTAATTGTATGTACATCAGCTTTGGCACACGGTAGCTAAGTGACTGAATAACAAGACACAAGCACAATCTCTCCAGACTGCGCAAAAGTTCGATTGCTACTCATATATATTATATGTATATACACACTCATACATATGCATGATCAGCTCATTTGATTTGCTTTGAGTAACCGGTTGCTGAAGTCACAGACGCATGGGCTGGGTTCAAGGGTAAGGTTTAGGTTCAGGCACTGGAAAACACACATTGAATAGATCATTGCATCTATTCGAATAGTACGGGTATATGCTGTGCATATTATAAAGTACTTGCAAATACATGTATGTCATATATGTATGTATTTTATGTAGGTATATTATGCAACCACTGCGCACTAGTTTCTTCTCTGTTTTCCATTTCATCACATCGTATTTTAAATATAACAACAACAATCAGAATTGAACTGTGGCGGGCGGACAACGTTCCACAAACGTATGCCTCGGTTCAGCTGGCGTCACTTAATGAAATCCCCCTGAAGCGGACTGAGGCCCAAAAGCCCCATAAGCTGACGGCGACAAAGCGTGTGCAAAGAGAGAGAGAGAGAGAGCGCAAACAAACCGGAGAACCCGTGAGAGACAGAGAAATAGAGAGTATGTACGTGTGAGAAGCGCGGCGATATTCACTTGAAAAAGTGCCCAAAAAGCTTTGACCGTGTGATTGTGTGTGAATGTGTAAACATATATATATGTATATATATATATATATATATATATATATATGTGTGTGTGTGATAAGGCCTCGAAGCACATAACTATCCACAGTAGTGGACGCAAAAGTCAGACAACCGCCTTAACTCAGATTTTGCCAAAGCTTTATAAACTATTCATATTATACTTTATTTAATTTAATTATTTTTTCAAATAATGCTCTATCCGAGTCACGGAGTACTACAATGTTTTACAAAAAGGGTCTTATTGTCATTCCATATTGAAATACACTATTTATGGATCACATTTTTATATAATAATTTAAAAATAGATATACATATCCACTGTACTGACTTTTTTGTTCGGCACTGTATCTTCAGATATGTATGTATGTATATGTATTTAGGAGATTCTTAGAGCAGTTAAATAAGTTATATGCCGCATATGACCTTTAGATTGGGCAGGTTCTGAAGGTTGCGACAATAGCGCTGCCAGCCGTTCCAATGGCGAAAGCCCTCGGAAGCTTGAATGCGCTTCGCGCAGGCGGCTCCCTCGCGCAGATTCTCGTCGAGCAGCTCTTGAATTCAAACAAACATTAGTTGACCAAGCGGGAAAAGCAAGAAAGCTGGGCTTCCAACTCACCTTCACACTTGACATTGCAAACGCCGCCGCGTCTCGCCTCCTGGCAGTAGCGACCGTTGATCTGAAACAAGCCATAGCTGCGGGATCCGTTTGGATTGGTTGTCACCTTGGCGGTGTCCAGATCGCTCTCATGCTCCAGCAGGCATATCCCTGTGTATATAAGAGCCCACTGTTAAGAGTCCGTTCACTCGCAACTCTCCCCCGCCCCGCTACTCACAACTGGAAAGCAGGCTGCGCTCAAAGCCGTGCTGTTCCAGCAGCTTCCGTGCCAGCTCACAGCGCATATAGCGCTTGCCCAGCACCAGAGAACCCGAGCTCACCCACAAGCTCACATAGAACAGTGCAAGCGCCGCCGATCTCATCTTGCGACTGCCAGCCCACTGTTTGAGCTTGAACTTGGACTCGAGTCTGGGATCTCTGCCACCGCTGCTGCTGTTGCTGCTTTAGACAACTGATTGCTGATAAGCTTCATTTGCGTTGTTCTAAACGAATATGTAATATAACCAATTGCTGGCGGGTTAATGGCGGTTGAAGTTGCCAGCTTTGATGCAATACTTGCCGGTCACTGGCCTATTTTAATGCACTGCCATTTGTCGAGGGTATTGCAAGTTTGTCGTATATATATATATATATATTTATATATATATATATATATATAATCCTAGCGACATTGAATCGAGCTGCTATATAGCAGCATGTGCAAATACACATTGAACCCCAATTGGTCCACCCTAATGGATGTGCCGTCGCACAGTAGCACTCCCCAGGCACAGAAGGGTATTTAAGCTTCGACTTGCTGTTATTACCACTATTTCTCTTGTATATTAATTAACTAATTACTTCCGCATTCGTAATAAAGGTATACGTTAAGGCATTCGAATCGTAAGCTGCCGATGGCTAAACTAGCTTCCCAGTTAAAATCCCGCTCATGCCGGCAACAAGAAAACGCGTTTATGTGCCAAAAAAAATTAACCAGATACATATAAGTTGAACAAACGTGGCTAGCTATGGGCGTGTCAGTATTTGAATACCCTGTAGAAAGAATTGGCTAATAAGGGTATTTCGCAGATGTGTGGAATAGGCAAAGGGTGAAATCTGCGAACCCAGCCGACTAGATATTACTTATGATATTAATATATGTAAATATTTAATTGATCTATAACAGTTTTAAAACAGTTTCATAGACATATTTCGGAGGTAAGGTAAGTATACATACACACATAAAATATTTGTTTAGGAAAAAACATCGTGCACTTTCGTATATACACACCTTTTTATGCACTGATTCACGGATTGGACTTAAAGTAAAAACATATACAGAAATACATTGGCCACCATCCAGGATCAAAGACACAAGATTCACAGTCGCTGTCAATTGTGTATGCCTCCGAGGAAAACTAGCTGGTCAGTAAACGCTGGGTATCTCTTTGTCGAAACTTACTTTGGATACTATTACTACTGGAGCTGAATATACCAAGTTTGGTAAGTACAGAACAATATATATTTAAAGAGATAAACAATATATTTCGCTTTGAATACATTCTCCCAACACCCTTAACCTAAAAAAAAAGCAAAGTCCCCTGCTCTTAATTGTTCTTTTATACCCTCCAGTCCTTTGAAAAATCATAGCAGAAATGCAAAGCTCACGAACGAAATGACTATGTCCCATGTGAAATATAATATCTTATTGCAAAATATTTGTAGTGTTATAATAGTGAAAATATAAATTACATTTATAAAGAGAATTTTTATGGATTTTTTTAAGATATCATTTCATTTAAAAAGATATCATATAAAGATACTATGGAAAAGATAAAAACGGCTGCCAGCTTTTAAAATCTTAAAGCTTTTCTATAAACGCTAAACTTAAAAGTGAAGGTGTTTGACCAAACTTTTTAACGATTGTTTTTATAGAATATTACACAAATGTATGCTTATGCATTGATAGCTTTTTTCTTTTTTCTTACTGAACGAAGCTTAACCACTTGACGAAAAGATACACTTGACGAAAATAATAAAGTACAGAAACAAACCGAAATCAAGGACCCATCCAAGTTACGCACCCTGCCCCAACTGTTCACAATTATTAAAAGCTCTGCAAAGTTTTGCTATTCCGTCCGCAGTTATTAAATTGGCAGCTTCCGACTATTGAATACACTGTATCTGGGTAAAAAGCTAGTTAATTACGTTGATGGAAAAGTTAATTATCTTATCTTGTCTTAAATGACTACGAGTTACTTTCATCTTTCTTTTGCGACCCGGATTAGTTGTAGAAGTAAAAGTGATGCATAGACGAAAATGTCGAAAACTAATATACTCCTTATCTATTCGAAAATAGAGTATAATTAGAGAGTGGAAAATAAGCTCTTGGCCATTTTCGAAGTTATAAGGTTTATCTATTGTATTTCAGCGCGCCAAGCAAAATGTAAAATATTAACAAAATATATATAGATTTCGAATGCAATTGTTGTGGAATACAAAATCAGGTGACTTTAAATCTACAGCAATGTGCATTACATTGAAAATATATCTATAAAAGAGTTAAATGATTTGAGCAAATAAATGTAATGGAAAACTGTGCTAATCCACCCAGTCCGTGCAGAAACAAATTTTTTTTATCAAAGCAAAAACCGACTTAATTTTTCGATAGCCTCCCACATTAATTTTATATTAAAAATTCAAAAGTTTTGCACAGGCCTGTTGGCATAAATTTAGATTGAAAGATATACATATTTTGGGACCCAACAATATCATTGAAGGAACATTAGAGTACGCACCTTACAACTTGATAAAGCCGGGTGTTGATTTTTTTTCTTTTCAATATTGCATATTATTATTCATAATATTGGATTTATAAAATATTAGATTTACAATGATAAATGTAGAGGGATTTTGTGAGTTTTTTTATATAAAATTTTGATTTGACCTAAAGGCAGGTCTTGGTAGCATCGGTTTTTTTTTTTAAACAATATTTCACTTATTTCCCTCGGATATTTCAACATTCCTAGAGAATCGTCAAGCCCCACAGTTCACGAAGCGTATGCACTGTTTCTCCCCGATGATTCTCTAAAAGAATTATAATGAATTGCTGAAAAAAACTGAATTTCATCATTTTTTTTTTTAATGAACTATTGCTCAGCTCTATTTTTTGAATGACTTCTCGCTGAGGCGAAGAGTTACTTGTATGAATTCTTTGATTTTTGGATATACAAGAGTTAGAGCTTCATATTTTAAATATATATATTAAATACATATCTACATAGTTTCGTTCAAAATACTTTTTGATTTCCTTTTGTTTTGAAATATTCGGAAATAATTATTTTTGAGCAGTTTGTTTTTTTTTATAGCAAAAAAAACTAAGAACTAATAAGAGAACTAACACAGTATGCTCTCGCTCAACTCAACCCTCGATACGTGCAGCTCAACAACACGCACCCGAATTCTGGCTATTGTATTTTCTGTTAATGCAGCTTGGAAACAGTAAATTCAGTTAAGGCAATTTTTTTGGGAAATCCTATACTTAAGTTTGTTTTTTTCCACTTTCCTTTTGTTATTTTGTTAATTTATCATTTTAGAAAAGGATAACTTTGCTATTTCCACATATTTCTTTAATAGAATTACATATGATGAAATTTACATATTATATAGTAAATTTAAATGTTTTAAATATAGATTTGTTCGACGTTTTTTGGCATGCAAGTGAATAGACCAATAGAAAATAGTCCCTCGCCTGTTAAGAATCATATTCTTTGCGAAAAACTCTTTTGTTTCTCATGATCACGATCTTGCTCAAGCTTTTCTCTGTTCTCGCTACATATTATCCGCAACTTCTCAACATATGAGTAGTTCATCAACATAAATCATTAATTACTAGAGGACGAGGTAATCGGATAACAAGTTTTTAAATCCGTTCATCAAGATAGATTGAAATTTATAAAAATATGTATAATTTAATATATATATTTCTTATTCCCCTAAAATATCTGCAATACCTTATAGAATCGGAGTATTAGAATTTAGAGCGCCCATAATCAAATAATAATTTATTACAAATTTTCTACAAACGCATTTTCTTTGCAAGGTCTTCAGCTAATAACCGTTCTTTCTTGATAAGAATTTAAGTTTTCCTAGAATCTGGCATGATTACTTTTCGAACAATATTCCCTGAGTGAATGTTCGCCTCTGCATATTTACAAACATACTGATTTTCGAAGGTGGATTATTTACATATGAACATATAATCGATTCTCAGGGATGCAAAGAAAACTTTCAATATAGCCTATAATCTCTAGCATCTGGGTGAAATTATACATTTAATATATATGTATTTGAGGCGACCTCGGAGTTGTCCTCATATATCGTACTGCTTGTATATATTCTGTCATTTTGAATTTGAGTAGCTTGTAGAAAACTTTCTATCTTTTTTTTCAAGTCAAAAATTCAAATCGGGTAGATCGAAGTTCTATATATATAAGAAAGCAAGAAATTAAAAACATATTTTTAAATCCATAATTCCGATATTTTTGATAAGGTTGGAATATACGTTTTTTCTGAACAAATTTCTTTGATTAATAATATTTATATATGTTCTTGAAATGGATTGCTTTGACTAGACATGAACTGAGTCATCTGTGAACGCAACGAGTTCCGTTACAATCCGAGCTTGATAGTCAGCCGCCCTGAAAGCACGCGTAGCACCTGCTGCTGCTGTTGCTGGTGTGGTAACACACATTCAAACTCATGCGCACACACACACACATGTATAAATATATGTAGCCACCCCCTGTGGCAAGTTGCAACCGCCGTTTCGGACTTAATATCGATCCTGAGGCAGGCGCAGGCGCAGTTGCAGTCACAGTCGCCATCAAGCTGAAGTCCGAGGTCGAACCCTCTGGCGAGTTCAATGAATCGAGTCCGGTTCCGAGTCCGAGAACCGTGAACTGAGTCCACCAAAGGCGACGAGTTATCCGATGAGTCAACGCCACTCGCAGTCGTTTGTGAGCGTTCGCAGCGCTAGGTACTCATCAAGTTTCCTGGCGCATTCGAAGCATAACTGTGACTGAACAGCGCAAGGTTGTCAACCTGCTTCAGAAATAGAGATACAGAGAGCGTCAGAGTGGGGGAGCAAAGGAACAGAGGCGGAGAGAGAGAGGGTTTCAGAGAGCACAAGCTGTAGTTCTATACCACACAGAGAGTGTGGCGAAATTCCAAACATTTTTTTTCCGTTTCTAGTGTCGGCATTAAAATTGTTGTTGTATTTGAAAATGTTTTTTTTTTTCGAGTGCGTGTTGAAATCAATGAAAGAGAAACACAGAAACAAAGTGCAATAAAGAAAAAAAAATACACAAAGAAAATTAATTAATAAACTAAGCAAAGTGAAAAAACAAATTTTCCAATTTCTTGTGCTGTCGACGATTGTAAATTTCTTTTTTTTTTGTTGTGTCTTTTGCGCAATGCGAGAAAGCAAGGAGAGAGAAAGAGTAGTCAGTGTATTAGAGTGTGTGTGTGTGTGTGTGTTTGTGTTTGTGCGTGCGCAGTTGTTTCAGATAAAACGAGTACGAGCTAGACAGAGAGAGAGAGAGAGATAGAGAGAGAGAGAGAGAGAGAGAAAAAGAGAGCGAGAAAAACAGCAGCGAAAGAGTGAACAAATGTGGGATGTGTTGGCGGGGTGTGAACCTGCGTAAGCCTGAACACTGTAACCAAAACTGGCTGCAGCTGTTTTCTATAAGCTTCCACGAACTCCGAGTGCCCGCCCAGAAGTCTCTCTGGAGGCAAATAGCATGCCAAGCTGCCTTCAGCCTAGTACTAGGGAATACCAATGACTCTAATAATGGGTTTTACCCATGTCTAAACGTGAATATAGATACATTCCAAGTGAGTTATGTGTACTAATGAATCGACTCTATTTCAATTCGACTTGTAACTATAGCTATAGAGCTTGAGCAGGGCCTACACAGAGTTATGGCCAGCTACGAGTAACGAGTACAGACAATAGCGAGTAGCGAGCATTTAGAGTAGGACGAACGAAGGGGTGGCGGGGGAGGGAGGTGGGTGTTGTGTGTTTGTGGCTTATCCAAAGGCATACGCTCAGACGTATTTTTGTGCTCTGTGACGTGCGACGCTCTCTCTCTCTCTCCCTCTCTCTGACTCACTCGCTCACTCACTCTCTCTCTCCATCTCTCTGTCTCTCTCATATCCTCTGCTCGCTGCCTTGCTCACATCAGTTTCTACTACGTTCTACAATCAAATACTACTACGCACACACACACACAGAAACACTCACACACACACACACACGCGCGATATTTCGTTGCATAGTTTTTGGGGGCATCGCAAAGAATCAGCAGCAACAACAAGAACAGAACGCCAGCAAATTTGATCGTCGTGTGTCTTTTGTTTTATTGCTATTCCCCTTTATTATTATTATCATCATTATTCTCATTCGCAATTGTTTTGCTGGCTTTCGTTGTTGTCCAGTTGCAGTTGCAGTTGCAGCCAAAGCAAAAGCAAAGTGCTTAAAACAAACAGACCGAAGCAGACACAAAGTGTAATCGAAGCAAGAGAATCAAACGATATAAAGAAGAAATAAACACACAAATAAAGAAACGTTCAAAGGGCAAACGAGAAACCGTTCGACGAAGCGCTAAAGCAAAAAGTGCTAAAAATAAAAAAAATGTGCGCCTCGCTGCGTCGTAATTTGTTGCTGCGGAGCCTTTGGGCCGCCGTCGTGCTTATTGGCACAGTGCAGGTGAGTCATGCAACACCAAAAAATCCTAACACACACACACACACACACACACGTACAGACAGACACACACAAACACACACAGTCATAGCTGCTAGCTGCTCTAAGCGGCCCGCAAAAATGTGCCAGCCAAAAAGAGACTAAGTTCTCGCCGCTTGTCCTTACACACACACACACACACACCAACACACACAACACACACAACACTCACACAAACATACTCACACACAGACGCACAGCGTTACGCGAGTGTGCGCAAATATTGGCTTAATTGAACCGTTTTTTTCTGCTGTTCATTTTTTTTGTTTTTTTTTTCACCCACTCTTTTTGGGGTTTTTGTTTTGGCAGCCCCCGCACCGCCAGCCGCCCCTAGCGCAGGCAACACTTACACAACACGCACCCGAGCAATTTGCATATGAAAGCGGCACCAGGTGGGTGGCAGGGGAAGGGCCCAGCTGCCCAGCAAAAACATAATAGGGCTGAGAAAACCCATTAACTAATGATAGCTATTTAAGTTTTAATCCTGCCAACTAAATGTTAGTCTGGAGAATGAATACATATCCAAGCTGCAAGCACAGTAAACGTTTGTACTGCTCCGGTTCATGTTTCAAAAAAAGTCCAAGTCCTAAGCTACAGTTCATAGAACTGGCTTTACACGTTTGTGAAGCCAGGTTTGATTCCAAAGCCTGGCTCGTCAATATAATTACAATTTTCAAGAGAACTATTTATTAAATCACAGATTAAATGTTATTTTCTTTAATTATTAATTCAATTATTTATATTTATTATTATTGCCTATAGCAAAAATTTAATTGAAAATATTATTTGTTTCGATTCAGGCAGAGATTTGATTCAAGGTTCGGCTCGTGTTTAATAGAAAATTGGGATTTCAGCTCTGTGCTGGCGCAGTTAATTAATTTAATAATCCGACATGGATTTATTGAATCAATACACACACACACACACATACGCAAAGTTTTTGTCAGTATTGTAAAACGTCAGATTGTGTTCAGCTTCACCTTGTGCCGTTACCCTGACCACAAGCGGCTTACAGCGGGGGCTCAATCAGAAGGCATAGATACGCCATAGATGCCATTCAACTCGTTTAAGGCAGCACTCTTCAGCTTCTCAATTCATCGATATCTGAGAGTATTGTGTGTGGCTAGGATAAATATTCAATGTGAAAATGTTATTCAAATGAATTCAAAAAACAATTTGCCTGAGTCCTGGCTTAGGGCCAGCTGCGAGCTGCCACCTATTGACGTGTTTTGCCATAGCAATTTCTGCCATACTTAAACAATTTGCACAGAAAGGATATCACATGATAGCTCTGGAGACACGCACACACATCGTCGAGAGCTTGCAATTTGAGGCAAAAGCAGAAACAACAAAAACTATAAGCCAAAACCTATCAAATTCATATACACACACGCACACACACATATGAACACACAGTGGCGTACATTCAAAGAGCTATTATACGAGCGGGTGCCAAATGGGTGGTTTTTCCGGGGCCTGTTGGAGGCGGTGCAGGCGGGCAACACTAAGCTGATTTATAAGTTGGCCAGCTGCTGCTTCCGATTCTGGGTCTATGTTCAGGTGCTTTTAGTACGGCTCTCTTTCTGTCCCTCTCGCTCTGTCTGTCCCTTTCAGGCCCGTTGCTTTTTATGCAGCTTGCAATTTGTATTGCCCTGGCCCCCAATGAATGTCCCTCTTCTATATACATATATATATATATATATGTGTGTGTGTCTGTGTGTGTGTGTTGCCTGATACTTTAATGCCGCTATTCATATCGGTCTTTGTTCCTAGCAATTTATGAGTGACCCAGGGCACAGGGCTGCCTCTGGCTGTCACAGTCACAGTTGGCAACCACTTGCAGTGGCAGTTTCAGTTACACTTCTGTACCCATATTTACCTCAAGTAACACCACCATCAGCACCACCGCCGCCCTCAAGCCACTCCCCCACCACCATCGCCCGTCACAGCGCTCGACAGCAAGCCGTCAACATTGCCGTGCACGTTATCAGACCCAACGCATCGCTCGCCACCGTTTTTATACTCTTGTCGAGGGTATTATGATAATGTTAAGGAATGTGTAGCATATAAAAGAAGATATCTACGAGCCTATGAAGCATATACATATTCTTGATCAGTATCAACAGCCGAGTAGATATACCCAATTCTTCGGTTAACGTCAGATAACTTTGCATAGATTTGTACTGCTGTAGCCAAAATTAAGTTATTGAGGAAAAACTTTTTGGTTTTCAAAAATATCTTTACTAAATTCTGAATGTAAGAGCTATTCTATGCTTCTTATATGCGAGTTAAATTTTATGAATATCAAATTTCTGGGAGCTTTACTAATCCCCCAGCATATCTGCAAAGCCGTTTTAAAGCGGACCATTATACTTATAATAGTATTTCGTAAAGGGTATCTTAACTTCGGTCTGCCGACCATCCGGTTTTATTGTTGCTGTTGCTATTGTTGCTGTTGTTGTTGCTTTTGCTGTTGTCGGTGGTTGCTTACGTACATTTCTTTTTTTCTTATACAACTTGCATTGCGGGGGGCTTTGCGTATTTTCCAGTTTTTTTTCTGCCCTTCTTTTGTGTCCTTTTTTTATATTTCGCTTCAAAGGACTCGTCGCACGCGTGTCTGACTCATGCGTCATGCAGACAGTCACGAAGTGGGCAGACACAATCTGCCATATGTCCAGGCGACAACCCAACAACCCAACAACCCAACAGCCCAACAACCCGACAACCGCCAGTCGATATCAGCCTGGATCCTGTTTCTGGTACAACCCATACAAAGTTTAGTCGCATATGTAAGCCTTTCTAGTTACTAGCGTATCAAGCCTGGTAATGATTGCGGGAGGGGCAATGTGGGGGCGTTGGCCAGTTGATTGTCGAGGCAACAACTGCAAGCTGGCAACTGGCAGGCAGCTAGTTGTCAATTCGCAGCCCGCTCAGCTTAAGCAACCCCTATGCCATGTTTACAGTAATTCAGCTAAACTAGGTTCGAGGTTGGGAGGACTGTGTGCTAGGGTCGCGTCCACTAAACCTGCCTGATGCATGAAGCCTTTAACTTGCAACTCTTTTACTATGCACAAGTCCACAAATATGAATCATAAAGCTTCGAATGAGTTTTAGTTTGTGCAAAACCACATCGAGTGGGTGTTGGCGGGTTAAGCATTAATTTAGCACCCCTCATGCACTAGCTCTGCCCTAAAACCCTTTGCATGTACAGTGGGCGGCATATTTATTTTAACGAACTCTTCCTTAGAATATTGATGTTTGCCTAGGTCAGCTTAAAATAAAGTGAATATTAACAAAGTACGCAAGTATCTAATTGCCTTTAAATGAATTTTAATAGTCACGCGTCCACTGTAATATAAAATATGTCTCAGTTTGGTATTGGCAATTGGTTGTTTTCACCAGGGCTGCAAGTCTTTAAATAAATTGTCGGTGGTTCAAGCCAAATATCTGCCTTTGGTTCCGGTTCATAAATCGGACTTTCCTTATCCACGAACCCATTCATTCAACCATTACTTGGGCTAGTTCTTCAGCATTACCTTGTGTAAGTAGCATGTACAATTTATCAGTTTTGTATGAGCAATTGGCGGTAAGCATCAAGCATCAAGCATCGGCCATTGTACTTTAAAAAATTGTGGCTCAAACCAAATTCCCGCCTTGTGGCTAGTCTGGTTTTCCTTATCCACGAACCCACTGAATTCGGCACCACTTTGGCACTAGTTCCGCACCATTGGCCTATGCATGTGTGTGATGTTGGTAAACATCTAGAAGATAATTAGCTTTTCGTTTTGGACTTTTGAAGCCTAGCACTTGTAGCTTATATGCTTCAAGGCTGCCAACCTGACTGGACGCAACCACTAAGTGCTCAATTTGAGTTTCCCGCTAATCGAATGGGTACAATTTACCCGGGCAATAAGGAGTTGGCTTTGTGCGTGGTTTATGTGTTGGGTGTTGCCTACAATTTGTTGTTGTTGTTGTTATCGATAGCCTTAGGTCTCTCTTTCACTCACTCTCCCTCTGGCTCTCTCTCTCTCGCTCTGGTTGCATTTAATCATGGCTGGCCAGAGGTTTGCATTTATTGCATACATTTAGTCACTCGCATAGCAAATGCAGCGTACCCGCCTTTGGTTTAGTGTGACGCCTCTTATGACTGCTGCATGCACCCTTAGCAGCAAGCCCTCGCCCCCTTTCCCCAGCCACCGACTGCCCATTTCCAAGTTGGCCGCTTCAATTCCATCCGTATACGTTAGCATTTATCAGGCTTGGCAATGCCAAACAACTTGGTCAGCGTTGTCGTTTGCTGCCTCACTGACGATTGTCCTCGTCCACATTGACAGCCAGTTCGTCGTTCCCATTATTGTTGTTATTGTCGTTGTTGTCGTTGTTGTCGTTGTTGTAGTCGTTTGCTGTACGTGCACATTCATTAGTTGTGGTGTCACAGTCCACACATCCACACCCATATCCACAAAGCCCCCCACACACACACCGCACATACACACACAAATGGACTGTACACTGACCCCACTTCCTTTCAATTTCCCATGCCAGGGCTGGAATCCTTTTGCGTTTTCTTGCTGCTTTTGCTGGCTTCAGCCTTGCCTTCGCATTGTTTGCTGTGTCCTTCAGCCACATTTCGAATCCTTAACTCGACTCGTTTCGTTTCGTTTCGTTTCGATTCGTTTGGTTTGGTTTTGAATTCGTTGCGCTATTTGGTTCGCATTATTTGTCTTCTTATTTTTCTTTCACATTTCTGCTGTCACTTGCTTGTGTGCAGCTTTGCTTTTTATGTTAGTCCTGACTAGGTCCTGTCTACGTTCTAGCTACCCACTGCTGTCTGCCTCCTGACTCTTTTGACCGGCTGCTCGTGGCCTGCCGCCAGCCTGTGTGCCAGTCCCCTTTATCATATCTGCACCCATATCCAGTTACAAAGCGTTTCCGCCTCAATGATTTTTTCGATTATGCATTTT